TTTATTTTATTTTATTATTTTCTCTGTGTGTACCCTCAAATTGGATCTGACTGGTACAGTAGGAGAGTGCCCCTCCTTTTCCAGCAGATTTGAACCGCGTATCTCTGGGATTGCAATGCAGCTTCTTGCCACTAGGTCACCAGAGCTCCCTCAATTCTTTCATCTTAAATAGCTTTCCCTCCATTTAAAGTATGAGAAGCTGCTGAATTCTGGAGGGTAGGTTTTTTTAATTTAAAGTTGGGTGTAAACAGTTTGGATGGTTTTTATTTTATTCAAAATTGAGCATTAGCTGACTGGTTGTTTGGATTTAGTTAAAAATCAGCTGTGGGCTAGAACTCAGTCAGGACCTGGTGAGTGGCCCTTTGTATGTAGAAGTCAGTTGTGCCTTTACTGATCTTCAGATTGGAGGCTCCTGTGTGAAGCAGTTGGATTCTGGAAGATAAATTGTTTTGAAAAAATTGAGAGTCAAGTGTAAACTGGGAGGACTTTTTTTTGTTTCATTCACAATTGAGTGTAAGCTGGTTGTTTGCCTCTTGTTGCTGTTGTTGTTAGATATTACTGAGTCAAGGGTGACTCATAGTGAAACTATGAACAAAATATCTGACCCCTGTTCTATCCTGTGTCATCCTCACACTTTCTGACACACAAGAACCCATTGTAGCAGTCACTATGTCAATTCACTTGGTTGAGAGTCTTCCTCTCCTTCTACGACCCTCCACCCATTCCATCATCATGTTCCTCTCCAAGGAATGGCACCTCCTAGCAACAAGCCCAAAGCATGTAAAGCAAAGCCTCATCATTCTTGCCTCAAAAGAACACACTGGCTGTACCCTCTCCAAGACATATCTGTTTGTTCTTTTGGCTGTTGAGGAGATATTCAGTGCTCTTTGCCAATACCACAGCTCAAAGGCATTATTTTTTTTTACATGTCATGCTTATTTATTGTCTAGCTCTCAGATGCATAGCAAGTAATCAGAAAAACTATGACCACAACAGACACCCCTTAGTCTTCAAACTGACATCTTTACTCCTTAATAATTTGGAGATGTCCCTAACTGCAGATTTTCCCAGTGCAATGCATCTCCTTATTTCCTGACTGTTGGTAACAAGGGTGTTAATTGTGGATCCAAGAAAATTGTAGCTGTTGATGGTTTCAATCTCCTCTTGATCCATCATGACACTGCCTATTGGTTTAGTGGTAAGAATTTCTGTTTTCTTGATATTGAAACGCAAATCATACTGAAGCCTGCATTTTTTGATCTTCTGCAACAAGTGCTTCAAGTCCTTTTCACTTTCAGCAAGGAAGGTTGTGTCATCTGCATAATGCAGGTGATTGATGACTCTCCCTCCAATCCTAATGCCATACTCCTCTTCATAGAGTCCTGCTACTTGGATAATTTGCTCAGCATACAAATTGAATAAGAACGGAGAGAGAATACAACCCTGATGAATTCCTTTCTCAATTTTAAATCATGCCGTATTCTGCTCTGTTTTCACAACAGCCTCCTGGTCCAGGTATAGGTTTTGCATGAGCACATTCAAGTGCTCTGGAATTCCCATTCTTCTCAATATTATCCACAATTTATCATGATCCACACAGTCAAATGGCTTTGCGTAGTCAATAATGCACAAATAGCTATTCTTTGGTGTTCCGTACTTTCAGACAGGATCAAACTGACATCAGACTTTATAGTCCTGGAGGTATGGTCTCTTCCAAATTCTGCTTGAACTTACAGCAGTTCCCTGTTTATGTACTATTTCAGCCATTTTTGAAAGATTTTCAGCAGTATTTTGCTTGCCTGTGATATTAATGATATTATTTGAAAGTTTTCACATTTAGCTGGATTCCCTTTCTTGGGAATGGGAACAAATATGGACCTCTTCCAATCCATTTGCCAGATAGCTGTCCTCCAAATTTCCTGGCATAGACTGGTGAGTGCATCCAAGGCTGCATCTGTTAATTGAAACAAGTAAATTGGTATCTCATTGATTCCTGGGGCCAAGGGTTTTTATTGCCAATGCTTTCAATGCAGCTTCTACTTCCTCCTTCCTTACCATTGGCTCCTGTTCATATGGTACTTCCTGGATTTTTTTCAGTGTCAGTTCTTTCTGGTACAGTGGTTCAATGGATTCCCTCCATTTTCTTTTGATGTTTTCTGGATCATTCAATATATTCTCATGTTGTTGTGGTGGTGTACCGTCAAGACAGAATCAACTTATAACTGACCCTCTCCTAGGTTTTCAGAGGCAGTTAATCACACGGGAGAAGATTGCCCATCTTTCTCCCATGATATTGCCCATAGCATCTTTCAGTATTGTGACCTGAAGTTTAAATTAGTTTTTTCTGTTCTCTAAGGTTGAAACATGCATTGTGAGTTCTTCCCTTTTTCTCATTTAATTAAAGCTCTCTGCACATTTCATTATAGTAGTTCTCTTTATCCTCTCAAGTTATCTTTTGAAATATATTCAGCTCTTTAACACATTTTCCTTTTGGTTTGGCTTCTAGATGCTCCAATGCAATCTTTAGAGTCACTTCTGACATCCACTTTTATTTTTTCTTTCTTCTCTGTATTTGCAATGACCTTTTGCTTTCTTCATGGAAGATATCCTTGATATTATCCCACAATTCATCTGTTCTTCAATTATTGGTGTTCAATGATCACCTGGATTTAGTTAAAAAATCAGCTGTGGGCTGGAAACCTCTTGTTTAAGACAAGAAAGACCTAGTGGGTGGGTCTTTGATTTAAACATTTTATTCTTTTTATACTGGTGTTAATCGTGTTTGGGGAGAACATTGTTCTAAGTAGTACAGCACTTGTCTATCAGTTTGCTGTGTGATACTAAAAGTTGTTCCACTGGTGCGTCAAATACCATAAATGGTTAGCCTTGATGGACAGGGTTTGGTGGAGCTCTCAGATTAAGACAGGTGTGGAAGCAGGATTGACATCCACTTCTTAAATAACAGATCTTTGAAAATCCTATGAACACTAGAGAAATGACAGTTATAAAAGAGGGTTTGGATCTTTTGTTCATATAGTTGCACTTAATGACAACAACTATACTTTAGAATCAGGAAAGAAAATAGGAAAACATAGAGAAGGGAGATAAAAGTGCCTAGATCCCTGGTGACTTTCCCAATGAAATTTGTCTTTTGACTTCCTGACTACTGGTACTAAGAGTGTTGATTGTGGAGCCACACAAATTGAAGTTATCAACAATCTCAATCTTTTCATCATTTACCATGATGCTCTCAATCAGTCTAGTGGTGATAACTTTTGTTTTCTTGATGTTGAGCTTCAATCTGTATTTAAGACTACAGTTCTTGACCTTCTGCAGCAAGCGCTTCAAGTCCTTCTCAGTTTTAGCAAGCAAGGTTGTGTCATCTGCACAAAGCAGATTGTTGATGAGTTTTCCTCCAATCCTGATGCTACATTTCTCCTCATGGAGCCCAGCCTCCTGGATAATCTGTTCTGCATATAGATTGAAAAGGTATGGAGATGGGACACATCCCTGGTGCACACCGTTCCCAATTTTGAACCATGTAGTGTTTCCTTGTTCTGTTCTGATGTCTGCCTCCTGATCTAAGTACAGGTTTCACATAAACATAATAAAGTGTTCTGGGATTCCCATTCTTCTCAGAGTCAGCCGTAGTTTTTAGTTGTCATTAAGTTAATTATAAGCCATGATAATAGCTTAAGTGTCAGAGCAGAGATAATCTCCATAAGAAATTTGAATTTGTTCATTTAATTTTGTTGCTGAAATCATCTCAGGAAAGTTCAACTTTCCCATATATGCAGGCTTAGAGGAGACCAAATGATATTTTATAAGATCTAATCTACCAAAATCTGTGACATAACTATTTCTACATCCATAGGAATAATTCTACTATGATGAGAAACAAATGTTTATACAATGGATTTGGGAATTCCAGTAAAGGTCATGTTCCTCCATGGTCTCAGACATCTAAATACATGATTTTGTGTTGTCTTCTTTGGAGTATGGGTCCATCATTTTAATAATTTGGCAGCTAGTCTAGTATGACTCAGGTAAACCATATTGCTATCAGAGTAGAACTGTACTCCACAGGCTTTCACTGACTTGGTTTTGGACAGGTAGCCACAGGCCAAGTTCCAGAAAGTGTGGGGCCTCATTTCCATGCAAGGCCAGTAGAATTTAAAAGACCAAAAGATGATATGTTCTTGGAAAAGATTGTAATACTAACTGAAGAAGAAACTTGGGAGGTGGTTTAAATCTCTGAATTAGTTTTTTTTTCCTCCTTTTTTGCCATAGAAAAAAGACATAGCAGATAGCAGACTTGAAGGAAAAAGGAGGAGAAAATCAGTGTGTTCCACTGAACCTCGTATTCAAAGTCAGCACTCATTCACCCAAACTGACTCTCAGAAGATAAAAGTCCCTCAAGTGAAAGATGAAAATGAGCAGAACTTTGGATACAGCAGCACAAGTGGCACAGAAAGTCAAACTCAGACTCCCGTGATGGCTCAAGTCCTCAGCAGTTTCACATTCAAGGTAACATTTATATATTTTCATTACTTCTCTCTCTATATACCATTATTGAATATGCAAAGGTAAAAAAATATTCACCAAAATGAAAGAGGTTTTTCTCATCTAAGTAAACACATTTTTATTCAGAAACCTTTGAACTCAACAACTAGCCAGGATATTATAATTGTATGGCAACAAAGAAGAAATCTTAAAAGGGGTCATTTCTTAGGCATCAAGCCTCCACATAAAATTTCAGCAGACTTGTTGCTGAGCCCTTTCTCTGTGCTGTGAACAATTAGAGAAGCAGGAAACATTTCCTCACAGACAGCAAGTTTAACGAATGCCTTTCTTGTATATTGAGTTGGTTTAGATCCTGAATTAAATCCGAGCCAATCATTGTTACCTTTTTTATTTTCTACTTGTGATTACATACACTGATCCCGGAAGTATTAAAA